CATAGTCCCTTTGAGATACCCGAAGACTCTCTTTAGTGTTTGCCTATGAGATGATATTGGAGCTTGCAAGAATTGACTCAATTTATTCATAGCAAACGTAATGTCTGGCATGGTATATTGAAGGTACTGTAATCCTCCTACAGCACTCCTGTAAGCTCTGGGATTCTTTAATGTTTCTCCATCAGTTTTAGACATTGATTTACCAGCAGGAATAGGTGTAATATAGGGCTTTATATTTTGCAACTCAAATCTTTTAAGTAAATCAGCAATGTATTTAGTTTGAGTGAGGTAAATTCCAGAGTTATGCCATAATACCTCAACCCCAAGGAAGTGATGCAGCTTTCCTATGTCCTTTAGCGGGAATTTTCTGTTTAGATTCTTTGAATTTCTGCAGCAAGTCTCTGTCATTGCCTGTGATCACAATGTCATCCACATAGATGAGTGCAAAAATTATTTGACTTTCATTTTTGAAATAAAAGAGGGAGGTGTCTGCCACTGATTGCTTGAATTTCCAGCTCAAGAATGTAGTCTTTAATTTTTCATTCCAGAATCTAGGTGTTTGTTTCAATCCATAAAGTTCCTTGTTTAGTTTACAGACATTATTAGACTTCGATTCATCCACAAATCCCTCAGGCTGATTTTAAAAAACAGTTTCTTCAAGTTCCCCATTTAAGAAAGCATTGTTGATGTCCACTTGTCTAACCATCCATCCCTTTGTGACTACCAAGGTGAGTATTATTCTGAGGGTTGATGGCTTGATAAAAGGGCAAAAAGTTTCAGATAAATCAGTTCCAGGAGTTTGATGAAATCCTTTGGCTACAAGTCTAGCTTTGAATCTCTGAACTAAGCCATCTGTATTATGCTTCAGCTTGAAAACCCATTTATTGCCTACAATGTTGTATGTTGGTGAATAAGGCACAAGTTCCCAAGTTTTAGCCTTTGTTAAAACATTGAATTATTCGTCCATGGCTTTCCTCCAACTATCATTCATCAATGCTTCAGTTGCATCCTTAGGTTCTGAGAGTTTTTCAGCTAACCTTCCAAGATAAACCTTTGGTTTGAATACTCCAGCATTTCCTCTAGTGATCATAGGATGCCCAGCCAGATTTCCTGTTCTATGTTGAGGCACTTCTTCAATTCTATTTTCATCTGATTGTAGAGAAGCTTCACTGACCAGTGACAGATTTAGTTCTGGCATTGAAAGTTCTAATTCAGCATTTCCTTCAGAGTCACCAAGGTCATCACCAATTGTTATATTGTCATTTAAATCAAAAAATTGATGATGTTCAACATGAGCAGCTTCAGAGTGACTTGTATCAGCAGGACTTGAAGTAGATATTATTTTTTTTGTTCAGATGGAAAATGAAAGTGAGATACTATGTTTTCTGACACTGCTGGTTTTGATTGAATTTTATGGAGGTAGAAGACTCGAATGGGAATTCTGACTCATTAAACATGACATGTCTTGAAATATATAATTTTCCAGTTGAGCTTAGGCACTTGTACTCTTTGTGAGATTCACTATAGCGAATAAATGTGAACTTGGTGGAGTAGAAACTGAATTTGTGTTTCTGATATGGCCTTAGATAGGGGTAGCAGGCACAACTAAACACTTTCAAGGCTTGGTAATTGGGTTCTTTATCGTATAAGATTTGATAAGGCGACTTTTCTTGAAGAGTTGGTGTTGTCAGTCTATTTATAAGGTAGGTAGTAGTTTGAAAGGCTTTCCACCAGTACCTCAAGGGCAGTTTTGCTTGGGCTAATAGTATTAGACCTATTCCAATCACATGTCTATGCTTTCTTTCTATCCTACCGTTTTGAGCTGAAGTGTATGGACATGGGTGCCTAAACTTAATTCCCTCTTGGTTAAAAAATATGAGAACACACTATAGTCACCACCCCAATCAGCCTGCAAAGTTTTTATATTGCTAGCTAGTTTGTTTTCAACAAGTCTTTTGAATTGAATGAATATATTTAAGGTCTCAGATTTTTGTTTTAGGGGATAAATCCATGTGTGCCTGCGAAAGTCATCAAGAAAGGATATGTAATATTTAAAACCTGAGGTAGATAGGATAGGGGCTTGTCCCCAAATGTTTGTGAAGACAAGTTCTAATGGAGCTTTGGCATGTGATGAAGATAAAGGAAAGGGCAATAAGTGAGATTTGCCAAGTTGACACGCATTGCAGAAAGGTCAGATATCATTTCCTTTGAGTTTGAGATTACAGGATTTGAGTACTTCAATCATCACTTGGCTAGAAGGATGACCAAGCCTCTTGTGCCATACATCATTTGTAGAAATAGAAAACTCATTACTCGAAACACTAGAAGATAGGTTGCACAGGAATTTATTTGTGATGGCTGACTCTTGAGAAAGACTCTTGGTGGTTTGGTGAGAAAAGTCCAGCTGGTACAGCCCCTCTTTAAGCTTCCATTGCATTATCACTTCCTTCGTTGATTTGTCCTTGACAAAACAACAATTATGATGAAATTCCATGTAGACATTATTATCTGAAGTTAATTTAGAAACACTTATAAGATTTTTCTTAATTTCGGGCACATGAAGAAGTTTGTCTAGAACCAGAATTTTATCATTCAAAACTGGAATGTGAGTGGTACCAAAATGAGAGATATGCAACTTACTTCCATCTCCTACCATGATTTTTTCCTTACCAGCATATTCATTGACTGAGGTGAGATTTCCTTTGTCTAAGGTTATGTGATTGCTGGCTCTAGTGTTTGCATACCATGCTGGATCATTGACAATGCTGAGAGATGCAATAAGAGCTGCAGGTGACATGTTGTAGCTGGTTCTTTGGTTTGGTGGCACTCCAGTATATCTATCATCATACTTGAAGTTGCATATATTAGCCTTGTGTCCAATTTTTCCACAAACTTGACAAATTGGTCTGTTATCATTGCCACCATATAGGTTATCGACTCTGTTTCTTTCCCTTCTACCACCTCTATTATTGCTGAAACTAGTGAACCTAACCCCAAAAGCTGGCCTGTAAGATCTGAAGCCATGGTGATTGGATGCAGACCTTTGGGAGAAATTAGATTGATGTTTGATTTCAGCTATGTCATTTCTCAGAGAATTTAGGTGTTTCAGCCTGCTTTCATAAGTCATAAGTGTGGATTGAAGCTCACCCCAAGATATATGATCTCTGCTATTTATCTGGACAATAATGGGGGTATAATCTTCATCTAAACCAGCCAAAACCTGAGTGACTAAGTTTGTATGCGCCACAGTTTTCCCAGCAATTTCAAGGTTGTCAGCAAGTTGCTTCACCTTGTTTAAGTATTGATCAACATTCATTGTTCCATTTCTTGACTTCTGCAGTTCACCAGTCAAGAAGGTTATTCTAGACCGATTTTGTACTCCATAGCTTTCTTCAATTGCTGTCCAAAGTTCCCTTGAGTTGGTAGCACCTGTAACTCTCATAGCAATGTTTGGAGTCATTGATGAATATAGCCAACCCATAAGCAACTGATATGTTGACATCCATTGGCCATACTCAGGATTTTTAATCATCTCAATGGTGGTACCAGCTTCACCATTGACGTGGCTGCCATTAAATTCTTGGGGACACATCTTTGTCCCTAGAATGTAGCATTCAATGTTGTGCCCTCGTATGATTAGCAATATCATATTCTTCCATAGCAAGAAGTTGTTCTTATCCAGCTTGACTGAAACAACTTGAGTGAGATTAACTCTGAATGGTGAGATGTTGTTGGTGCTTATCAGAGG